TCGCAGCCCGATTCGTAACCACTACGCTACCAGAGCTCCTTATACTCAGAGCGGTAGTTACTCTAAATACCAACAGAGAGGGAAAGAGTCTTCAAATCAAGTATCAATGCTATTCGCTCTGTGCACCTGGTAGATTAAGGATGGGCAACTTAGACACTGGCTATCTAAAATGAGGGGGCAATAAAGGCACGAAGTGACTGGCTTTCAAGGTTTCAAGAGGGAGCTTAGTTTAAGAGTGTGAGGGGAAAGAAAGAGTCCCCACTGAATAGCTTATCATGTTGTCTAGATGCGTCTGGTGAAAGGAGATGGGCATAAGATTCGTAAGATTCAATAGTGAATAACTGTTATCATGACTAATAGCAACCGTCACACTTGTAAAGGTACAGTCCAGAAACAGAGGACCCTAGGACCATGAAGAAAGAAGCGCACAAATAGAATGCGGGACCTTATCCAGAGAAGCAGCAGCGCCAGAGATGGAAGCAGAGATGGGGGCATGGAGAGGGGGCACGGCTGAGGACTCTAGATTCATCAACTAAGAAAAGAAGGAGTAAGAACTGGTGGCCAGGAGCAGACTTGCAGAATGTGTCCTTTGGAGATGTAAATTATTATGTATGCTTGAGAGGTTTTTTTTGTTTGTGTGTTTTTTAAAAAGCTAAAGTGGATAGAAATACTTTTAACTGATGGTATATGGAGGATGGTATAATGTAATGAAACAAGTTATATGAATTGTTGAATGTGAAACTGATGATGTGCCCTGTAAACTTTCACTCAATCCACAATAAAAATACTAAAATCCTAAAAAAAAAAAAAAGAATAGTGATAATGGAAGTACACCATGAAAAATATAATCAATGTCAATGAACTCTAAATGTGGAAGCTGTTGTGTTGGCAAATGTTTTGGCATACTTTATGCCAAATGTGGGCACATTTTAGCCACAATTAAAAACAAAAACAAAAAAGTCACCTAGAAAAAGGAAATTAGTGCCAATTAACCACAATCAGAGCAACAATTTGTTAGAATGTAGTGAATACCAAATACAATGGACAAGTCTACTCTATAGGGTTTAATAAAAAAAGATATCTCACTTACTAATTCACTTTCCTAATAATGGATTAGCTTTGGAACTTTTCATATCTAAGAGTTTGCCAATATCTTTAGGAATATATTCCTTATGTCAAAAGCAAGTATATAAAATTGCACTGAGGTTCCATGTAATTAACCATAATGGGATTTTACATCTTTAGAGTATTACCTATTAAACAAAATGTATAAATAGGGATTTTTCTTAATGCTTCCTTCCATTTGAATGAAAAATAAACTTTGCACAATGTATTCATTTCTTTAGAAATTATATAATTAGATTATGTTATCCCAGAAACAACCAATAATGTTTATTAATGATCTATTTTACCTAAAACATTTTAAAGAGGAAGAGGAGGCAGAAGTTTCTTCTTCTGGAGAAGGTGGAACAAAATCTATATCGTAATCATCCTCATTCAGTTCAATACATGGAGGTTTCTCATTTGAGTGTAGTTCCGTTTCTTCCAAACTTGTCTTCTTTTCACTGTTATCTAAAGTAAAGCAGTTGATGAATATAGGTTATTTTAATAATTAACGAGACAGAAAGAACAGGGAATAAACACTTAAGAATGAGTGCTTTGGACAAGTTATAAATGATAATATCACTTTATATATGAGTCCTCCCTTTCACACAGTAATGTTTACTTATTTTTCCATAAATGTGCCTTCAGTCCATTGGATTAGACCCAATGAATGGTGGATTGAGGCCAAAGATTTGCTTAACGATTTTCATGAGTGTCTCCAGTTAAGTTATAAAACCTATATTTAACATTAGCATTTTCCTTTTCACTCATATTTAGATAAGGATTGTCGCTGCCAAGTCAGCTCCTGACTTCAGGCGACCCATGCACAATGGGGCAGGACCATTGTGATCCACAAGGTTTAAAGTGCAACACGCAAGTCTCATAATTGCACAAACATTGCTGTGTGTGGAGATAAACTGGCTCTACCACAAACGTTTCCTAATTATTCAAGTCTACCAGATTCAGTGCCTCTCTCACAGACTACGCTGGAAAACACAATGCCATATTGCAGCTCCCTGGTTGGTGGCGTAGTGGTTACAGTGTTGACTGCTAACCAAAAAGGTTAGGGGTTCAAACCCACCAGCTGATCTTCAGGAGAAAGATGTGGCAGCCTCCTTTAGTCCTGGAAATTCTACAGAGCTCAATGACTCAATGCCAGTTGATATGGGATTTACTTTTCATTAAATTTTCTCATAAGCATCAGCAACATAATTGATTGGGCTAATTCTGCTTACTCTCAATTACTTTTCAGCCTTCTCTGACTCAATAGTAACTTTGATGAGATTCACATGATCAGAAATGATAATTTATAGTCAGAAACTATTTCATAAGATTGGATATTTCCACATACAGCCAATTGCAGCTATTAAGTTTTAGACACCTAATAACTATAAGACCTATTCAGAATATAATTTGAAAGTAATTCAAAATACTTTAATAGCATGATTAGATCACATCATACATCAATATGAGGAGGCAGCAGCCATAACAAAACTCTTAATATAACGGCTTAGTTTGACTTCACAGTTCTACCACTAACCAGCCATAGAGCTTTAAGTTCATCATTTTCACCCCTAGGGGCCTTATTTTCTCCAAGTGCAAAATCCTTTGGTGATTACATAAAAGCCACCACAGAAGAAAACCTTCCTTCTAGCAGTCTCCTGCCATAAGAATGTGACCAGCAGATGGTTCACCAAGCATCTCTAGAGACTCTACGATCCTTAAGGACAAATCAGTATCATATTCACTGCTGTCTCCAATGCCTACCTTTCAATTAACAGATAAAACCAACATACTGAAATGAAGATAAAAGAACTTTTTTTTTTTTTTTTTTTTTTACCTCTTTCATCTCCCAAATGAGTTTTTAAAGAGTGATTCTCTTCATTTACAAGCCCTTTGGAAAGGGGTTCATCCTCTATGCAAATCACATCGCAACTTAACCATTCGGAGTCATTCTGTAGTTCTTTAGTCAAATCCACTTGCTCGCTTTCAGTAAAGGAAGACGTCAAGTCAGCCTTTCCTGTATTTGCTTTTGGAAGCTGTGCTTTTAAAATGTTTCTCTTAGTCTTTCTGGATTTCTGGGCAGTGCTTACTCTTACGTTGTGGGTTTTGAGTGGTGTAACAAGTGCTTTTGAATTCTTAGAAATGGCAAAGTCATCCAGATCATCCCAATCATTGATGGTAGTAATGTAAGAATCTGATGAAGAGCTGAATTCTAATTTCTTGAAAGCAACATCATGCGATTCCCTCAGAGCTGGTGGTGTGCTTTGGGCAGTACATGCATCTTCCTGTGGAGTCTGCAACAAAGCCAGTGGTTTTGAGCCACCCCTTGAGGTTTGTTGTACAGCTGGAGCAATTTGAACGAAGCTATGGAGCCGTGTCTGTTGACTTGTGGGGAGAGGCGCTGGCTCACTGAAGGAAAAGGCCTCAGCAACATTAACATCTTTGTCACTTAACACGGGGGTTTTTGGGGTTTTTGCTACTGACACACTAGTCCCAGACATATCACTATCAGAAGATGTTTTCTTTTTAAAAGTGAAACCTCTGAAAAAGAATTGAAAATACTGAATTAGACTATTTTAACAGAACTCGAATTAAATGATCAGATAAGCCAACTCTCTTGATTTCCAAAACCTGTAAGGTCACCTACATTAATAATTCTTTTCTACGCTTTGATCCTTCCTACTCCGAGGCTATAAGCAGTTGTGAGCCTATCCAGGCCACTCCCATTACTTTCCCGAGCTGGTAACAAAAAACAAAAACAAGAAAATTGCCATAGAGTTGAATCTAACTCCTGACAACCCTCAGTGTGCCAGAATAGATGTGTGCACCATAGGATTGTCAACGGCTGATATTTTTAAAGAGGTCAAGCCTTTCTTCCTTTTCTGCCTCTGGGTGGGTTCAAACCTCCAACCTTTAGGTCAGCAGCTGAGCACTTTTGCTACTCTGATGAAAGCTTTATGGGGGAACAGAGTTAGAAATTGCTGGCTAAGCTGAGCTCTGAAAGACACATAACAGAGGTCAGAGTTAGGGATATCTGCTGAGTCTAGTGACAGAAGGATCAATGGTGACTTATGTCAAGCCCCCAGAATAGTGCCTGGAATCTGGAACGTGTACAATAAATAATATAAAATATTACTGGATGTTTTGAGATGAGGTTTGAAAATAGCATGGCGAGGGCAGAAATAGAGAGGTGTCCCTTCCTTATAAATTATTTTTGGAGAGGGTATTCAATGATATTAAAATATTAAAGATACACATTTCCCCAAATTAACAAGATTCACACTATTCACTCATCCAACAAATATTTACTGAGCAAATATTATGTGCCAGTCACTGTGCAAAGGTACAGAACAACTTATTACCTGGCCCTGTCAAAAACATGCTTTGCCATTAATTTGCAAAGCAGGAAAGTCATTTAACCTCTGAGCTTCATTTCTTCATCTGTCCGATGAAGGAGTTAAACCAAACATTACACTTGTATGATTAGCAAGTTTGCCGGTAAAACAGCAACCCAACCAAACTACTTACAAAGATTTTGGTTTTGAAAGACTTAATTGATTATTAAGTTTTCTGGCTGAATGGCGTTCTAGTTGCTCCTGTAGATTATTTTGAGGGACAGCAGCCATGATCCTAAAAAGTGAAGGGAAAAATACAACAGAGTTAAGTACTTTGTATTAATCACAGTATATATTGGGAAAGGGAGATTGAGTCAAACAGATATTGTCCCAGTTGTGCCCAGATTAACAAGAGACATTGTGTCAATAGGGTAGAGTGAATTTACAACTGTTAGCTAACCTTCAGAAGGCTCTCCTGAATGTCAAAATGACCAGGTTTCCCACCCAAGTTAAAATGAACACAAAAGACCTGAGAGAAGGAGTCAGTGTGCAATGGATTCTTAGGAAAGGGCTGGCAGAAAAATGGGGCCTGAGCTGGGCTTGAAGGAGAAGAGGAAGCTGGACAGGAAGGAAGATGGTGGAAAATGGAATGTATTCAAAATGTTCTGTCCAAGGATAAAGTCAGGAGAAGCAGCAGCACCAATGAAAGCAGTGGTTTACTAGCATGATACTGTACATCCTAAGCTTCTAGCTTCAGTCTCAACGAAACTTTTACTAAGCATCTTTCAGAACCTTGGTGTACCAGAATGTAGACTGCTGAGCTGCTGCGAGCCTGTTGATAATGGACAGCTTAGTATTGTTGGTGGTGGCTGTGTACCACCGGGTCGGTTCCGACTCACAGTGACCCTGTACAGGCTTTCTGAGGCTGTAATCTTTATGGAAGCAGAAAGTTTCATCTTTCTTTCACGGAGCAACTGGTAGATTTGAACAACTAACCTTGTGGTTAGCAGCCCAGCTTGTAATCCACTACGCTATCAAGGCTTACTGTTGTTGTTGTTGTTGTTACGTGCTGTCAAGATGATTCTGACCCATAGCAACCCTATAGAGGGTTTCCAAGTAGCAGCTGGTGAGCTTGAACCACCAACCTCGCAATTCAAACGACTTCACAGTCTGACGCATTAGCCTAGAGCGCCACACCAGGACTCCTTACTGCAACCCCATGTGACAGAGGAGAACTTTTTTTTTTTTTCCAGGAACTGATAAGCTGATTCCTAAAATTCATATAAAAATCCAAGGGGCTCAGAAAACTCAATCGAGAAAGAACTTGTATTCCCAATTTCAAAACATACCACAAAGCAACAGTAATCAAGACAGTACGGTACTGATGTTGCTGTCAAGTTATATAAATTTACATATAAAATTTATATGTAAAAATGTTATAGGTCTGCTCCCTCAAAGATGTAAAACCTTGGAAACCCTATACAGGGTCGCTATGAATCGGAATCGACCTGATGGCACTTAACAACATCATTTCTAAATTTTATATACCTACTTTTTTCATCTGTTGTTTTCATCTAAGGGTTATAATTTCAACTATAATATTTATGTCTTTGAAAAAAGCATGTCAAGATCTATGTTGAAGTTCAGTGCTGCTTGTGATAGGATAATGTTCATAGACTACAAGGATGACCAGTTAATACAACGATTACTCAAATTTACATAATAACCACTAAAGTCAGTGATGATGAAACTGAAGAATTCTACCAACTTCTTCAGCTTGATGTTGTACTGGAGGGGCTCACTCATCGGTGCCTAGAAATTTGGAAGACAACTTCCTGGTCACCTGATTGAAAGGGATCCATATTTGTGCTCATTCCAAAGAGCAGTAACCCAACGGAATGTGAAAATCATGAAACATATGAAATTAATATCACATGCAAGTAAAATCTTTCTGAAAATAGTTTAAAAATGGTCATAGCAGTAATATGGACAGGGAATTGCTAGAAATTCAAGTAGATTCAGAAGATGATGTGGAATGAGGGATATCATTGCTGGAATCAGATGGATCTTGGATGAAAGCAGAAAATAGCAGAAAGATGTTTACTCTTGTTTTACTGAATATGCAAAGGCTTTCAATTGTGTGGATCATAACAAACTATGGATAACATTACAAAGAATGGTTATTCTAGAATATTTCATTGTGCTCATGAGGAAACTGTACAAAGAACACGAGGCAGTAGTTAGAATAAGATCCAAGCAATACTGCATGGTTTAAAATCAGGAAAGGTGTGCACCAAGGTTGGAGCCATTCACCATACCTACTCAATCTGCATGCTGAGCAAATCATCCAAGAAGCAGGATTACATGAAGAACATGGCATCAGGATTAGAGGAAGACTTACTAACAATCTGCAATATATGGATGACATACCTTGCTTGCTGAAGTGTAGAGAACTTAAAATACTTACTGATGGAGATCAAGGACTACACCCTTCAGTATGGATTACATCTCAGTGTAAAGAAAACAAAAATCCTCACAATTGGACTGATAAATAACATCATGATAAACGGAGAAAAGACTGAAGTTGTCAAATACTTCATTTTGCTTGGATCCATAATCAGCACTCATAGAAGCTGCCGTCAAGAAGTAAACTGATGTGTTGCATTAGGCAAATCTGCTGTAAAAGACCTCTTTAAAGTGTTAAAGGGCAAAGATACCAGTTTGAGAACCACAGTGCAACTGACCTAAGCCAGGGTACTTTTAATAGTCTCATGTGCATGTGAAAGTGGGACAATGAATATGGAAGACGGTAAAAGAATCGATGCATATGAATTCTGTGTTGGAGAAGTATATTAAAATATCATGAACTGCCAGAAGAACCAACAAATCTGTCTTAGAAAATGTGCAGCCAGATGCTCCTTAGAAGCCAGGATTGCAAACTTCGTCTCTCATACTTCAGACATGTTATTGGGAGAGCCCAGTCCCTGGTGAAGGACTGGGCACAGAGGCAGTAACAATGGGCTCAAACATAACAATAATTGTCAGGATGGTACAGGACTTGGTGGCATCTCACATTACCACTACCACCACTAACTTTTCTGAAAGGGATCACATTAGAAGGTCCTGGATAGAGTGGGAGAAAGTGTGGAACAAAATACAATCATTAAAAAAAAAAAAAAAAAAAAACCAGCTTACTGGCCAGAAAGAGACTGGAGGAATCTGGTCTATGACTCTTGGTCACCCTTCAAGTCTGGAACTGAACTCACCCTGGTGGCTCAGTTTTCAGCCAAGTAGTAAGTACATCTAGAGTGGGTACACCTCCACCAGTGAAACACGCACATCATAGAATGCTCAACTATTCAAGATCAAAAGGGCAGCATTCACCCAAAGGCAAAATTCAGAAAGGTTGGGAAAGAAGGAGGAAAGTAAAAAAGAATCACGGGGAAGCATATGACAGCTGATGTCACATGGAGGGGGCGACAATCATTGAAAAGAAGCAAAGCATATGACCAGTTAGATGTAAAACTGATGATCTCTGTAAACCTTCACTCAGTTCACAACAAAAAGACTATTCAATAATAAAAAGACAAACTACCCAATCCAAAAATGAACAAAAAATTAAATACACATTTCTGCAAAGAAGACATCCAAATGACCCATAAGTACATAAAAAGAGGCTTAAAATCACTTCACAACCACTGTGATGGCTGTAACCAAAAGGATGGAAAAAAAGAAGTGATAGCAAGAAAATGAAGAAATTGGAGTCCTCACACACCGTTGGAGAGAATGGAAATGATACCACTTTGGAAAACAGTCTGGCAGCTCCCCAAAATATTAAGCATAGACATAGCATATAATCTAACAATTCTACTAGTAGGAATGTTCCCAAGAGAAATGAGAGCACATGTCCATACATAAACACATGCAATACATAAACACCCGCATAAACTGCAAAGCAGCACAACACACAAAAGTAGAAACAACCTAAATGCCCATCAACTGAAGAATAAAAATGTGGAATATCCATGCAATGGAATGTTCTTCAGCCATCAAAAAGAATGAAGTGCTAATACATGCTACCATATGTATGACCTTTGAAAATATAAGTGGGAGAAGTCAGTCACAAAAGATCACATATTGTATGTTTCTGTCCCATAAAATACCCAGAATAGGCAAATCTTACAGAGAGCAGAATAGTGGTTCTCTCCGGCTAGGAGGGAGATGGGGGAAATGATAATGTCGACTAGTAAAGGGTATGGGTATTTTTTGTTGGGATGATGAAAATGTACTAAAATTGATTGTGGTTGCTGACAACAGCAAAACTCTGTGAATATACTAAAAATCACTTAAATGTCAACTTTAAATAAGAGAACTGTATGGCATGTAAATTATATCTCAATAAAGTTATTACCAAAAGGGAAAAAAAAGACAGGCATAATGAACCTGACAGATCTATCACCCAGATTTCTAAACCAACTTATCCAGTCGTGTTTCATCTATGCTGCATGCTGCTGCTGCTTGGGTGCATTCAAGTCGGTTTCCACTTGTGGTTGTTGGTAAGTGCCAACGAGTTGGTTCCAACCCAGAGGGACCCTGTATAGCGTTTTCAAGGAACAGATACTGAGCTTGAACTGCCAACCTTGCGGTTCAAACTGATTTTGCAGTCTAGCGCATTAACCCACAGTGCCACATACAGAATCCTAAGCCTGTACAGGGTTTCCGAGGCTGTAAATCTTTACGGGAGCAGAAAGCCTCATCTTTCTCCCACGGAACAGCTGGTAGTTTCGAACTGCTGACCGTGACGTTCTCAGCCCGATTCATAACCACTGTGCTACCAGAGCTCCTGAATAAGGAAGGTAGAGGTGTATTGTTGGCCATCCGAGTCTTCGACTCCCTGAGGTTTATTGTTCTTGCTGCTCGTTTGTTGTTATTTTTCTTGTTGCATTTGTTTAATAGCTTTCATACATTCTGTATCGTCGGCAATGTGCAGCCTCTGAGTTCTCTGCTACTCTTTTCCCCCACCCCAGAGTTCTTGCTTTTAAGGTTGGCTTCCTAGGGGTTCACACATGGGTCAGTAAAATTTAGTGGACAACCAATGATGAGTCAGTAGATTTCCTTAAATGCCTAGCCATATATCTCCCACCCTTTGCCAAGGGGATCTGTGCAATCATGCATGCCTTTGGAACTAAACACTCTCACCTGCAGCAGAAGGCCTAGAGGCCGGCCTCTGTGTAACTGGTGCCTTCTCCTTTCTTCAGTCTTCCCGGCTACACACACAGCTTTGCACATAC